GAAAGAAAGAAAGAAAGAAAGAAAGAAAGAAAGAAAGAAAGAAAGAAAGAGAAAGAAAGAAACCCGTTGTTGACTTTTACTTCAAAATTTGCTTGGTTCACTTTTTTTCAGTTTGTGTAAGTGCTACTAGAATATGGTATCAGTTGAAGATAATGATACTCTCCTTTAATATAATTCTCATTTTAAACTACATAAAACTTGTCAAATCTTGAAATTTCTTCTTAATCTACACAGTGACATTCCCCTAAGCTAACACAATTTCTGGACACAGAAGCACATCTTTTGACCACTGCAGCTATCTTTGCTCTTTTTTGTTGTTGTCTTGTTTCCTACTGGCAAAAAATATCTTGAAGTTTCTTCTAAGATGGGTTAATGTATCCTCAGGTGTCAGCTCAAATGTTGACATACCATGCTAACCAAAGGAGTCTTTTCTATATATCCTTACACCGTGAAGCTTCTCCGTCTGTTTGTGCCTATACTATCCCTGATTGTCAGTTATTCAGAGTTACTACGTGAACACACAATAGAGAGAAAAGAGGGATTTTTAACTGCCAAATGCACTAGAATCAGATTGTGCCTTGGTTCAATTCCCTCCTGAGTCCTGCTTTATACAATAATATTTGACCTTAATAATCTAGTATGCACAACCCATGTGACATTCTGCGACACTGTCTACCTCTGGACCAGAGGCACTCCCACTACAAGTAGAACACAAATTAATGCAAAAGAAGCCACCCACATGTAGTTCCACAACTCAGCCATGACCACACACACCACTCATCATAGGTAAGTGCACTCCCTATATTCACAAAGATTCTACACTGCAAAACAATATAGCTAAGGCACTGCCTGAATTTTCTTACGATACATCCTACTCTTTTTATTCCTTCAAGTAAAGGAAGTGTTTGCTGCCCTAGTTATTCAATTGTCACAGAAAACTAATGTGAATGTAAATGTATCCAGCCATGAAAAAAAAAAAAAGCCCAACAGCCACTGTATATTATATATTAAGATGTGGGTTATATCAAGGCAGATTTTTTTCTGTAGGGACTTCATCCCCACAAATCCTCAAGCATACATAGTGTTCTACAACAGATTGCTCTGTCAGGGCTTCTGCCTCTGAATTCCAGGTGTGCTCGATTTTGCATCTGCTACTTCACAAATGCATCAGACTTGAACGACAAACCATATGGCTTCCCTTACTGGACCTACTTTTGATCACAAATACGCACAAATTACCAGTGCAGACGCTGTGCCACCTGAAAATGCCAAGAGTGAATGGTGTTGACTTGGGTGCACAGACATAACTCAACGTGAGCTTACAGCAGCCCTGAATGTACTGTCTGTTGCTTCCCTGCTGACCCTGATCTATGGTATCTGGATAACAAATGTGCACATTTAGAATATTCTGTTCAGTTACAGCTCTGTGCTGGGAATCAAACAAGTTACAAATAGCCCCAAGTCCAAATACAGTAGTGACACACAGTAATGGTGTCATTATCAGGCAATAATTCTATGCCTATCACTGACTCCCACTGGCAATAAAAATGATAGCCTGTAGCAAAGTGGCCACTAGCTGACACTAGCAAGGAGATAGCAAATTACATTTAGTCCTGCGATTATATCTTCAATTAGCTTTGTTGGTAAATGTGAGTCGTGTGTGTGTGTGTGTGTGTGTGTGTGTGTGTGTCCGCGTCTGTATGTGTGTGTGTCTGTGTGAAAGTCCTGATGATACAGCTTGAATGGATGTGTCTGGTCACTAGCTCCCTGGCAAAAAAAAAAAAAAAACCAAAAAACAAAAAACAAAACAAAAAAAAAACTAAAAAAAAAAAAAAGAAAACAGGAGTGTTCACTTTTTTTAGGAACGTTTTCTGACATTTCCAGCTGATGAGTTAACATAAAGTGTGTTCTCACTGCACAGCACTTCCTTTTATATCACAGCCATGGATCTCCAAACATTTCTTCGGGACAAGATGTTTCTTGAGAAGTGAACTCTCTGAAAGCTAAAAATACTGAAATGGTCCTATATAGTCTCTCAAGCAATTGAAATGTTTTCAGTGAGGAAGATCTGCTTACAATTTCCAAACAAGGAGAGAACAGAAAGTTTTTGATTCTGTATAGTCATGGTGCCTTAAGAAAGATTTGTATGGGGATTGCTGTTATACTCCTTTTATCAAGAACTTATCATAAACACTGCTTGAGGTAGTCTTAGATTATAAAGATTTTCTTTATCCAGGAAAACAAAAATTCATGCCGCCCCACTGGTGCTTTTAGAAGTTCCTTATTTACTTTACAAATCGTAAAATGTTGACAGAGTAAAAGTGTAAAAGACAATCATAAATTAACGTTATTTCACAACATCCAAGCCTATCTAATTTTATAATGATTAGAAAAGGTTACAGGGGCGCCTGGGTGGCTCAGTTGGTTAAGCGTCCGACTTCGGCTCAGGTCATGATCTCACGGTCTGTGAGTTCAAGCCCTGCGTCGGGCTCTGTGCTGACCGCTCAGAGCCTGGAGCCTGTTTCAGATTCTGTGTCTCCCTCTCTCTCTGACCCTCCCCCCGTTCATGCTCTGTCTCTCTCTGTCTCAAAAATAAATAAATGTTAAAAAAAAAAAAAAAAGAAAAGAAAAGGTTACAAACATTAAATACAAAGGCAAACAGGAGACCTAAAAGCTCCAAACTGGAACCAAAGCTAACATGAGTGGAAACGTTAGTGTGGTGATAATCTAAATTTCCAGTTCTATTTTTTTTTTAAAGAATGAGGATTTTATTATTTTTTATTAGTAGTATTATTTATCATTATTTAGAAAGACAGAGACAGAGAGAGACAGAGCACGAGCAGAGGAAGAGAGAAAGAGAATCCCAAGCAGGCTCTGCGCCATCAGCCCTGAGCCCAACACGGGGCTCAATCCCATAACTCTGGGACCATGACCTGAGCTGAAATCAAGAGTCAGACGCTCAACCTACTGAGCCACCCAGGTGCTCCTGTCTTTTGACTAGCATAGCAAGCTTAGTGCTAATCAAAGCAACAAATAACAAAGCACCAAAGTTTGCTCCATTCATTTGGCTTTCTCTGTTCTCTTTACTTTCTGGTGGGTCGTGAAGTTGGCTGTATTTCAGTGTTATTTACTTACTTGTTATCAACTTAGGTAATGACTTCTATGGTCAAGAGCATCATATGCTTTCTTTTGGCCAATTGTATTGATTTCTTTTTTTTTTTTTTTTCTCATTGGCAGATAAATTTAGCTTATGTAGCAGCAATTATCTAGAAGGAACCTTAATAAGATCCACAAGATATAAGGAACTTGCTTCAGCCTCCTGGCCTATCCTTAAAGTCTGACTTTGAGACTATTTTTTTATTTATGGAAGACAAAAATCTCACTGGCCTCACACTGTTAATCTTGAATGTAATGTCACAATTTACAGTCTATAGGGACAACTTTAATAAGCACAGATCCTACCTTTATTAGAGGAACTTAAATTTTAAAAAAATAGCCACTTACGTTTGAGGATCAATGACTTGAGATTTATGACTCCCATCCAGGTAAAGTTGTAAGGGCCAGCAGTCTAGGACTTCTGAAACTGGAAATCAACCAGAGGAAAGCACATAGAATATTTCTTTGTGTCAAGTTGAAGTTGTCTCAATATGAACTGATTGTATTTGATTGCTCCACCTCCTGCCAATTTATTAACGATCATTAATTATGTAGGAATAGACTAAACAGAATAGTACAGAATAGATTCTGAGCATATGGCGACCAAAATAATGAGTTAAACCAAGAGTGAAGAAGAGAAATTTGCTGCCATATCCTTAATAACAGATATCATTAAAGTTATTACTATTAAGTTATTAGAATTTAATAAATGGGTATTTTCACCATATCTTAATATTGTCCCATTCCAAAATTGCTAAATTTACCATTTATTTCCCTGGGCAGATGAATTTTCTCTCTATTCACATGGCTGTTTAATAATTCCTTCTAGCAAAGAGCTGGAGAATCATAAACATTATGCAGCTTCTAACATAATTGACTCTCTTATTTCTAAATTATAAGAGACATTATCTTATGCAGGTTTTGACCTTCATGAAATTGAAATGATGCTGTATATCTTTGGCATTCTCAATGGATATATCCTTAGAACTCTACAATCATCACAATTATAAACTCCATTAAATGAGATACAGATGCTGGGCATCTGGATAGCTTTCTCAGCAATAAATCGAATTCATCCGATTTCTAGCCCAGTAGCCATATGAATGAAAATATAGTGGTGTTCTCAAATGGTATATCACTTAGTGTCTTCAGGAAGTAGATACGTTTTTCCTCATTCTACTTATGGACATTTGGATCCCTCAAGGAATGTGAGAACCATACATTCTTAACTTTCTAAAGCTAACAATCACAAAAGTCCTAAATCTTTTTATGCTTTTGGTAGGAGCAAATACATTCTTAATGTTAAAGTAATAATAACTTAAACCTGCTGTTATGTTGAAGTAGATATTAAGTTTTATGCATATCCACTGAAAATCAAAGCGTAACCCTTCACGTTTCACATATGAGTGTATGTATCCATGTGGCATTTTTATACATTGCTTTAGAATATTTTCAAGTAGTCTATAAAGTAAGAGGTGGGTGAGGTTCAGCTGTAAGTTACAGTGAACTAGAATGCAGTGGTAAATAAGGTGACACCTAATTTTACCTAGAAAGACAAAGTTAAAGGTAGCAGAGAAAATAATCAGATGATCATTAAGAAATATAAAGAAAGTAAGAATTTAAGTATAATTATGTTCTGATAAGGCAATCAGATAATAAAAACAGGTTTATAAAAGATAAAAGATAAAGAACATGACACAAAAATCAATGCATTTACAATTTCAGCCACCTACTGTTTGACTAACTGGGCTGCATCAATGAGAATCCAGCCCTTCCAATGTGGAAGTACCATAATTCAGACTTCCGAGACCAATAATTGTTCTTATGCGAAGACTGCTAGGTATCCAATAGCTATTTTCTTCTTCTTCCTTAATATGTCCTCCTTCCGATTTCTGCTCATGCAGAATATGTCACCTTTCTACCTTCTCTTGTAGCTAGGTGTGACCAGGGACCTAAGTTTACACAGTGGGATACAAGCATAAATCAAATGGCAGTTTTTTAATGCTTTTTCATTTTTTTATTTTTTTTAATGTTTATTTATTTTTGAGAGACAGAGACAGAGACAGAGCACCAGTGGGGTAGGGACAGAGAGAGAGAGGGAAATACAGAATCGGAAGTAGGCTCCAGGTTCCCAGCTGTGAGCACAGAGCCCGATGTGGGGCTCAAACCCACGAAACCGTAAGATCATGACCTGAGCCGAAGTCAGACACTTAACCGACTGAGCCACCCAGGGGCCCCTAATGCTTTTTTAAAGAGTCAGCTAATGTCCACCTTTTACTCTGTATCTGCTTCTTCTTGATGTTGTTTGGAATGTGGTGGTTTGATGACAGAAGCTAGACTGACCATTCTGTATCATAAGGTGACCTTAATAATGGAAGACACAAATGGTAGAACAGAACAGAAGAGATCTGAGTCCTGGCACCATAGCACCCTTGAACTATCTACCTCTAGACTTTTATGTGAAAACAAATATATTTTCATCTTGTCCAAGCCACTGTTAATTTTTCTTCTATTCTGTTTTGTTTGTTTTACCTGTAAGAGCTGAACCTAATCTTTTCCGCAGTGTGCTGATAACCATGACCCTTGAAATTGTTGATAATTACTTATTTGGATAATGGTCTCAAGCAAGTACATGGAGCTTGATGAGGAAAAAGAAGCCAGGCTTACAAAATTGGCTTTTTCATCAGTAGCTCTGCCTTCTATAGGAAATACATCTACCAGCCTATACTTATATGCTCTCTCTCCCAGTGATTAATTCTGGTAAGAAACTCATATGCACCAGCTACTATTATCTATAGGGTGGAATTAACATGGGGAGGGGCTCTATTCATTCATGGCCCAGCTTCTTGGCTCTGTCTGCCTGAAAACAATGAACATTTATCTCAACCTCTAGTCTCCTAAGAAAGAATAAGGTAAGTCAGTGCCCCCCCCATCCTCTACCCTCTTGTAACTGGATAGATTAATTCAAGACAACAGGAATGAAAAAGGAAGACCTGTTTTGGCCTCTGGGCCATGCCCAATTCTGCAATTGAGCTATAAACTATGAATGGACAGTCCCGTTAATCCCCATCCTGCCCTGTTGTGACTGTTAGCAACTCAGGTAGAGCCTTAAGTAGAAGAGGAGTGAGTGGTGAGACTACCCTAGATGTGATATTCTGAACTTGTCCACAGTATATCACTGCAAGGTCACATCAGGAACATAAGTTGCCCTTAATTCTCAAGTTCTATATATTTGTCCATTTTAAGTAATTGAGATTCTATAAAAATTCTGTAAAAATCCTATATTCTTTTCTCTTCTTCTTATTTGGATCAGTGCATTATATATATCATATTAATTAAAATAATACTCAAGTGCAGCACTGCTCTATATATTAGAGATCTGAGCTTGAGAACAAGCACCACAAAATAGTACCATTTTCAATCCCCTGAGCAGTATCTTCCATGATATCGGTAGGAATGTAATGCCCAAGGAAACATAAGTTACACTCTGGAGTTCAATGGTTCCTTGGAAACGTAGATACCAAACTTGAGATATTCCTAAGAAAGGTGCCAGGGAATAAGTCTTACGCAGCTGAGAGCAGTTAGGTGTCATCACCACCAGTAGATGCGGGATGGGGTGGTCTGTACAATTGCAACAGTCTCATGCCAAGCTACACTGGATTCTGACGCAAAAGGAAAAACACCACTTATCCTGGGGCTGCCTTTATGGAAAATTCTGATATTTTATTCCATGTGGATTTTGTTGTACGACTTTTGATTTAAAAATTTCTTTGGAATATTATTTAGCTCAAGTGCTGAGTTCATTAGCTCCTCCCTAAATTTGGCACCCAAGACAAAAACGTATGAGGAGAAGTAAAATGGTCCCAGGGGTCTCAGCGCTAGCCCTGGCTCTGCATTTCAGAGTCTAGCACTGGCTATTTATGTGTCTTCTGCCAAATTCATCTGCATTTCTGGACCTTACAACATGTAATACCAGCAGATGCTTCTTTGCTTCATGTTATTATTTGATCATCGGGAAAGCCCGTACCATGCATGATCTCTGAAAAGATGGCATTAAATATCATCAAAGCAATTTTGTTGCTGTCCTCAAAAATGAGCCCCTACCTTCCCTGGGCAGGTTCATAAAAGAGTTGGTCAAACCATCCCTGAGGTAAGAGCCACACACACAGGCCAAAGAGCTTCAAATCAGGTGAACCGAAAATTGTGAACCCCCTTTGGAGGGATTTTTCCCTTCCTTTTGAAAGGAAGCTACACAAGACTACTAAAACCTGCAGATATTTAATAAACCAGCATCTGTGCTTTTCCTGCTTCAAATTACACAGCATCATCCTAGTGCCAGTCCAGAGCTGCTTCCATGCACCGATGCTTACGGCACAGCCATAACAAAAGCCTAGACTGACACTTTTCTTTGCCTCTAGCAACTGCTCAATGTTCTGTTTTATTTTATTTGGCTTTATTATTTGGCTTTTGGTTGGCCACCCAAAACGACCAGCCTGCAGCGACAGCAAACATGGTTTCTTTCCAGGAGACCCGCAAGACCATTCTATCTATCCTTATCCCCCTTGCCTTGCAGGGGGCACAAAGATGGGGCAAACCCCTTTCAGGGAGCTACACACAGACACACACTGACATGTACTTTTTGATGTACATTTTTGACATGCACAGATGCTGTCCGGAGTGTTGAGATTGTTGGCAAAGAACAACAGGTATCTTCAGGGATAAAAGCATTACCTAAATGTAAGATTTTGTCAGGTAATGACCTCACAATTTTCAAAGTATTTCACAATTGCTGCCTGGTGGTGATTATAGGGTAGGGCTCAGTGTGCTTAGCAGAAAGGTCCAGATTAGGCCTGTGAGGGAGGTAAGGTGTCTGGCAGGACTGACATGCAATGAAAGATTATAAAAACCTGGTTTCTCCAGCCTGACAATGAGCATAGTTAGAAAGGAACTTAATTGCACCATTTAAGATTAGGAAAGGTACAGGGGGAACAAAGTTATCAATTCTAGGCTTAAAATGCCATTGCACAATATGAGAATAAGTACTCATATGAATGGCGCAGTAAGAAAATTTAAAAACCAATAAAATGAAATACTTCTGCACACAGTGGAAATCAGTGCTGCAGGAGATCAGAGAGTCAAATGCAGGAGCTGTATTTTAAAAGGAGGCTGAATAATTTTATGACCACTATAAAAGAGGAGACAGGCTTAAATTGCTGCAGGAGGTTAGGAAATGAGGAAAAACTTCATAACTACAAAGGTAGCAAGACCCGGGTGTGGGCATAATCAGAGTATTTTGATTTGCCACATTTTCTGTAGCTTTACCAGGATTTGCCACTCCTATTAGCCAGCCCCAAGATCTGCTCAACCTTTAAGCCCACGACCTTTTGCTTTGTTCGGTGTTGCCCTACGATCTTTTGTCTTTCACATTTATAACATTACCAAGGCATTTATCATGGACTCTCTGGTGATCCCTTCTTTGGAATTCATGCCCACCAAAGTGATTGGCCAGATGCTGTTTACTT